GGAGGTTTTTGGGTCCCCCAGACTGGGACCTGATGTGGCTGGGGGCTTGCTGGAGGTTCGTCAGGGGACAGGCTTTGTCTCGGACCATTGACTTCTGCATTAAGGCAAGGCAGAGTCAGTGGAATGAACCTGCTTTGTGCGACGCTTTTCTCCAGGGTCTGAACTCAAGTATCGACGAGCTGGTTTCACATGATCTCCCCACGACTCTGGACGCCATCATTGACCTTCCCTGCCGCATTGATAGACGCATTCAGGTGAGGCGCCAGGAGCGGCGTCTTTCTGCAAAGTCGTCCACTGATTTGGAGCCTGTGCGCCAGGGCCGTGAGAAGAGCCCTGAGCCGATGCAGGTGGGTCGGACCCGCCTCTTTCCCAGGGAGCGGAGTCGCCGTCTCAAGGGGAGTTTATGTCAGTATTGTGGCCAATCCGGACATTTCTTTTCCAGATGTCCAGTTAAAGAGCAGGCTCACCGGCAGAGGGAGGAATTCTGGAGAGCCCTTTCACGTCCATGTATGGCTGCCCAGCTACTAGTTGCAGGGGAGACCCATCCTGTCAAAGCTTTAATAGACTCAGGTTCTGATGCCAACATAATGGACATCCAACTGGCAAGACAGTTGGGACTAGGGGATGAGCCATTATCCAATCCGACCCCAGCTCAGACATTGGACGGGCACATTTTAGGAACCGTCACCCACTCGACCGGGCCTGTTGGGCTCTTGATAGCAGGCAACCACTGAGAGACGGTTCAATTCCACATTCTGCCTTCTTCCGTCCATCAGATCTTTCTGGGGCTCCCATGGTTAACCAAGCACAATCCCCATCTTGATTGGGCCACAGGAACTGTTTTACAGTGGTCGCAATCTTGTCACCAGCTGTGCCTCAAGGGGGCAGGATGTCCTCTGCTTTCGTCTCAGCCTGTTTCTGTATCAGACCTCGCCAAAGTCCCCAGAGAGTACCATGACCTTAAGGAGGTGTTCAACAAAGCCAAGGCCTCTGCACTCCCTCCGCATCGTCCCTACGATTGTCCGATTGACCTCCTTCCCGGGGCCATTCCTCCCAGAGGTCGGCTTTATTCTATCTCTGCCCCCGAGAGAGAGGCTATGGACGAGGATATAAACGATTCTCTGGCATTGGGATTAATCCGTCCATCTTCTCCTGCTGGGGCTCCCTGCACCCCTGCATTGATTACCGGGGTTTGAACGAGGTCACTGTTAAGAATTGCTACCCTCTACCGCTAATGTCGTCAGCCTTTGAGTTGCTGGAGGGTGTGTCTAGCTTTACGAAGCTTGACCTTAGGAGTGCATACCACTTGGTCTGTATCCGTGAGGGGGATGAGTGGAAGACTGCCACACCCACGGGACACTATGAATACCTGGTCATGCCTTTCGGTCTAACCAACGCTCCAGCTGTTTTCTAGAATCTGATCAATGACGTCCTCTGGGACATGCTCAACAAGTTTGTCTTCGTTTACCTGGACAATATTCTAATCTTCTCCCGTTCTAAGAATGAGCATGTCCACCATGTCAGAACAGTCCTCCAGCACCTTCTCCAGAATGCACTATTCGTTAAACCTGAGAAGTGCGAATTTCACGTATCCTCCACCTCCTTCTTGGGGTACGTCATTCAGGAGGGGAACATCCAGATGGATCCCAGCAAGGTGTCAGCTGTCACCAACTGGCCTCGACCAGACTCCCGGAAACAGTTGCAAAGATTTCTGGGATTTGTCTGGTCACCGGCTGCGGAACACGCCTTTCAGACCCTCAAGACTCGCTTCACGTCTGCCCCAATCCTCCAGATGTCCGGAGAGACAGTTTGTAGTGGAGGTGGACGCTTCGGATGTTGGGGTAGGGGCAGTCCTATCGCAAAGATGTGCCGAGGATCACAAACTTCATCCTTGTTCCTTCTCTCGTCGTCTCACCCAGGCAGAGATGAACTATGACATTGGGGACAGAGAATTGCTTGCTGTGAAGCTGGCGCTGGAGGAGTGGCGTCACTGGCTTGAGGGGGCTAGGCAGCCATTCATTGTTTGAACCGACCACAAGAACCTGGAGTACTTACGGTCAGCTAAGAGGCTGAATTCACGGCAGGCGAGGTGGTCTGTTTTCTTCACCAGGTTCCGCTTTACCCTGTCTTATCGGCCAGGTTCAAGCAACAACAAGCCAGATGCCCTTTCAAGACAGTTTTCAGGCAAAGGGGTGCCTGAGTTCCTGGAGGACACTGTTTTACCACCCGCCTGCTTAGTTGATACCGTTACTTGGGACATTGAGCAGAAAGTCAAGGCAGCACTGGAGAGTCAGCCCGGCCCCAGCACTTGTACCCCTGACCGTCTCTTTGTACCTGCAGGACTACGCTCTGAGGTTCTGCAGTGGGCTCATAGCTCAAAGCTGATGGGCCATCCTGGGGTCCGCTGCACCACAGAAGTCCTGCAGCAACGATTCCGGTGGCTGTCTATGGGGAGCGCTACGCACCAGTTTGTGCAAGCCTGCTCTACCTGTTGTCAGTCCAAGCCTTCCAATCTTGCTCCAGCGGGACTACTCCAACCTTTACCAATACCTCACCGTCCCTGGTCCCATATTTCATTGGACTTTGTTACTGGTCTGCCCATCTCAGGGGGTAACTCAGCTATTCTTACCATTGTGGACAGGTTCAGCAAGATGGCCCATTTTGTCACATTAACCAAGCTCCCCTCAGCCAAGGAGATGGCGCAGCTTGACCTCACTCATGTTTTCAGGATCCATGGGCTCCCCCTGGATGTAGTCTCGGACCGAGGTCCCCAGTTCACCTCAGTGTTTTGGAGGGAGTTTTGTTCACTGATCGGTGCCACAGCGAGTCTGTCCTCTGGGAATTGCTACCCTCTACCGCTAATGTCGTCAGCCTTTGAGTTGCTGGAGGGTGTGTCTAGCTTTACGAAGCTTGACCTTAGGAGTGCATACCACTTGGTCTGTATCCGTGAGGGGGATGAGTGGAAGACTGCCACACCCACGGGACACTATGAATACCTGGTCATGTCTTTCGGTCTAACCAATGCTCCAGCCATTTTCCAGAATGTGATCAATGACGTCCTCCGGGACATGCTCGACAAGTTCGTCTTTGTTAACCTGGACGATATTCTAATATTTTCCCTTTCTAACAGTGAGCATGTCCACCATGTCAGAACAGTCCTCCAGCGCCTTCTCCAGAATGCACTATTCGTTAAACCGGAGAAGTGCGAATTTCACATATCCTCCGCTTCCTTCCTAGGGTACGTCATTCAGGAGGGGAACATCCAGATGGATCCCAGCAAGGTGTCAGCTGTCACCAACTGGCCTCGACCAGACTCCCGGAAACAGTTGCAAAGATTTCTGGGATTTGTCTGGTCACCGGCTGCGGAACACGCCTTTCAGACCCTCAAGACTCGCTTCACGTCTGCCCCAATCCTCCAGATGTCCGGAGAGACAGTTTGTAGTGGAGGTGGACGCTTCGGATGTTGGGGTAGGGGCAGTCCTATCGCAAAGATGTGCCGAGGATCACAAACTTCATCCTTGTTCCTTCTCTCGTCGTCTCACCCAGGCAGAGATGAACTATGACATTGGGGACAGAGAATTGCTTGCTGTGAAGCTGGCGCTGGAGGAGTGGCGTCACTGGCTTGAGGGGGCTAGGCAGCCATTCATTGTTTGAACCGACCACAAGAACCTGGAGTACTTACGGTCAGCTAAGAGGCTGAATTCACGGCAGGCGAGGTGGTCTGTTTTCTTCACCAGGTTCCGCTTTACCCTGTCTTATCGGCCAGGTTCAAGCAACAACAAGCCAGATGCCCTTTCAAGACAGTTTTCAGGCAAAGGGGTGCCTGAGTTCCTGGAGGACACTGTTTTACCACCCGCCTGCTTAGTTGATACCGTTACTTGGGACATTGAGCAGAAAGTCAAGGCAGCACTGGAGAGTCAGCCCGGCCCCAGCACTTGTACCCCTGACCGTCTCTTTGTACCTGCAGGACTACGCTCTGAGGTTCTGCAGTGGGCTCATAGCTCAAAGCTGATGGGCCATCCTGGGGTCCGCTGCACCACAGAAGTCCTGCAGCGACGATTCTGGTGGCTGTCTATGGGGAGCGCTACGCACCAGTTTGTGCAAGCCTGCTCTACCTGTTGTCAGTCCAAGCCTTCCAATCTTGCTCCAGCGGGACTACTCCAACCTTTACCAATACCTCACCGTCCCTGGTCCCATATTTCATTGGACTTTGTTACT